TCCTTCCTCTCCAGGAAGGAGGAAACAAAAATGTTGGCTGCTGCTAAGGAACAAGGCAGTCCCATAACCCATCATGCTGCCTCTGGGTTCTCTGGCTCCTCCACCCTCTCCTTCCAGAAAGAAAAACATCCTCAAGAGGATTCTCACGAACAGGTTTGGGAAATATTTCCCCTTTTTAGAAGCAAAGGTGTTGTGAACTCTATGTGCTTTCTTTTACAGGATGTCTTGCTCTGTCACACTCTGTCCTGAAAGGGGATGGTAATAATGTTGTCTCAGTATAAATCTCTATGTATTTGTGCAACAGTCATGTTAGAGACTAGTGAAGTCTCATTTCTGTCTTCATAAGGTTTCCTGGAGAAATCCATAAAAGACAACACAGTATCCACTTTATATAGTTACAAAAAGCCTGGGAACTCAATATTTAGTTTTGTTTACAGCTTAACATCCTTGTTGGCTAGATACCATAACATGATTGTGTATGTAACAGACTGGAAATTTTGATGTGATGTGTAATTTTCTTTTCTACTTCCTTTTTTGAAAAAAATACAGAAGAGGGAAGGGTATATGTTGCCCACTCACAAATGGTTAATGCTGGGGAGGCCCATGGTAGCCTTTTACCAGCAGTGAAATTATAGAAAGGAGGAAGGCGACCTGACTAATAAAATAGAAGAAGAAATATCAGAGGAAGCTAAGAAAGAAGAAAGGAAGTATCAATATAATTTATCAAAAGCAACTCTTGCTTTTAAAGGGAAACCAGGCAGATGATTAGTTAAGGCATCAGAGAACAACCTTCAGAGAACTGTATTCCTCTGTTTTGTCCTGGGTTCCATCCTTCCATCTCAGGGAGAAGCCAGGTCTCAGGGAAGTCTGTGCCTGGTCTCTGGTGTGCTCCAGAGATGGGATTTTGATGTGTCCAGACCCACCTGGGTGGACTCTCAGGCTGATGTCCTGGCTGAACTCAAATACTCGCTGGCATACAGCTGCCAGCATGTGCCCTACAAACACCCGTCCCTGTGCTGGGCAGAGCTGCACGGCCCCCGCGCAGCCCCACTGGCACCCACGCCAGCCAGCTTAGGGTGGATTCAAGCGAGCAGGGGCAGGCAGGGTAGTGCTGGCGCCCCCACATCCCCCGTCTGGGCACCACGGTGATGGGGGACGCTGGTGTCCCGGGTCCCGTCTCTTCTGCACGGGCAGAGCGGCAGCGTCCCACATCCCTTCTGCTGTCCCCAGCAATCTCTCGGACATGGCACACACCGACATGCGCCTCCCACACCGACTCGCTCCAGCTCCCGGAGCCCAGAGCAACCACAGCCCCAACCCCGCCCCGCTTCGTTTCTGTGATTAGCTCAAACACGATCAAATATCTGAAAGCAAAAAGATGGCTTTGACTCCCTGGCAGGCTTCCTGCCCAGGCACAGGGATGTGCTCCAAAGCCAATCTTCAGTTCATGGCCTTGCAGCACCCTGGCGAGGGGAAGTATGCTTGTCCCTCCTTATGCATGGGACAAAAGGAAGAAACTTTTAATGGCTTTTCCCTGTCCTTTCACACTGTGCTACGCTGGAGTGTGAAGCAGCCCCACCGCTTGTTTTTCAAAAGCTGTTTGCTGTCTAATTTAGGATTGTCTACTTAAAAGTCTCCAGCCGGAGCTGTAAAACCCACAGCTGTGTTTTGCAGATGAGAGACTTGGGTTGGTTTCAGATCTTGTTTTTGGAAAGGCCACCATGGTCCTGAGCAAAGACAACACGAATGGCACGAGTCCATCCTTTAAAGTAGCGAACCGTGAGAGCTGTGCTCCTCCATCAGAACTCTTGAAGGACAGAAGTCTTTCTCTGTTTGGATCTGCAGACTGAAAAAAGCACCTCTTTTGTGTTGATCCCCTCCATTTTTTTGTCTGTGTAGGCTTCTATCATCTACATAGTTAAAAAGAAATAATAGAAGACACTATAAAAAAAAAATAGCCTGAAAAGTCCTTTCAGGCCCACTTACCTGGAGGTCCATCCTCCTGCTTCTACCTAAGCTGCTTCTCGGGGTGACAGAGGGGAGGATTTTTTTAAAGGGTGTCCACATGGTGTGTGCAGCCTCAATAGGATACTTCCCCTCTATGAATAAATCTTTGCTTTCAATTTTTGGATCAAGGCTTCACATCCAGATGTTTCCCAATTAATAGGTTGGAGGAGGAGGTTGAAATTGGGAGCAAGGAGTGCAACTGCAGAAATAACAAATAGGGATTTTTATGTGTAACTGCTGGGGTCTGCTACAGTGGGACCATGTTCATGCTTAGGGGTGAAGATGTGCCAGGGGCTGCACATACAGGAGAAACTGCTGCTGCCATGGGGTCAGAGGAGCACATCTCTCTTTTGCCCCAAACCAGACTGTAGAAGATTTTTGGGGAGTCACTTGATTCAGCCTGTGCTTCAGGTCCTTTTGTCTAACAGAAGGGTTCTCAATTCCAAAAGCAGGGGGACCATAAGTGAGGGAAAAGAGAAAAAAAAGAACAGAGTAAACTCGCTGAAGAATGGATCCTAAAGAGCTGAAGATCCCCTAAGTCAGTGATAGGGCTGAGTAAGATCCAGTGCTAGATGCAGAGCTCCTCGTGCTGCTCTGGCTCTTCCCAGGATGAGACTGCCTTGATAACGGCATCTTGTGTCTCCAGCAGGGGACAACGTAGCTGTGCCTGCGTGAATGACTTTGCTGGAGATGGGTCCAAGCTTCTAGAGACTGGGGCCAAAAAAAAAAAAGAAATGAGCAGGGTAGCCAAGCACTAAACAGCAAAGGTGATGGGAACTAGGGACCTGGGTGATGAATCAGGAGCTCTAGCTGCTTCAGACTAGTAATTTTATTATATCCATTCCCAGATCACCCTGGAGCACAGCTCCACACAGGAGAGTTCTTGTTTGAGAGGAGATTTGGAAGGACGTTTGCACCAAGGACAAAACAATCTAAGCAGGGATTTGCACAGGGATCTGAGCATCACTCTGGGAAACACTGACTTTGATGCCAGAGATGCATCTGAAAAATTTTTAAAAAAATTCAAAGGGCAATTGAAGTGTTGCAGTAATTTCCAGGCAGGGCATGTCTTCACCTGTTTTATGAAGTCCCCACAATGGTACAGCAGCTGAGCTGCTTTGGCCCCAGGTGTTTTCACACTGGGTCACATTTTGGCTCTCTGGAGCCCAGGTGAGCTATAGGTTTTTAGGTATGAAGAGGCAACATTGATAATATCTGCTCTCCTGACCTCCCCTGGCCAGGACACTCTTTGTGATTTCTACTAGCAGCTCCTCTGCTCCAGCTGCCTCCCTCTGGAGAGCTGGTGATGGCTCTAGGCTCATTTTACTTCTGCAGGAGTGATCATCTGCAGTTACTGGAGGGGTTAAAAAAAAGTTACTCAGCAGTGCTGCAGAAGAGCAGCTCCATGTGTCATCATCACACTGACTCTGGTCTGCAAGACACCGGGAACTCTTCAGCAGCAGACAGGGCTCCATAAACATAAATAAAGCAGAGGAGAAAAAAAACGAGCAAGTGGTTTGGGCTGTCTGCAGGGACAAGAAGCAGAAAGTGAATGTTCAGCTCAGTTTTTCCCTGCTATAACAGAAGAGAAACACTCCAACAGGATGATGAAGCTCTGAACCAGATGGTATCACAGGGGCCTGGAACCCTCTTCCTCCTCCACTAAGCTTTTGGGGAAGGTTGAACAGACTTGGCCAGGAAGCTGTAGGTAAAGTCAGCATTGCCTGGGGCTGTGGGGCAGCCTGGGTGTTTTCTCAAGGTCAGCTGCAGCTCTTTCTTCTACAAGAAGCTGGGACTTTGCTATAGCAGCTGCCCCCAAACCCATGAATTTGAGCCAATCCTATTCAACCAAGAGTCAGGGCTGCTAGAACAAGGTTGAGGCAAGCTGAAGCCCCCAGCATGGGGATGATGATGAGGCAGTGCGTCACATGCAGCAGAGACAGCAGTTGGGGCATCAAAACTCAACCTTCCAGGCAGCAGCTCCTGAACCCTTAGTCCTTGGGCAGGACTTGCTCTTTGAAGGCAACTGTCATCCTGATATTTACCACAGAAACAGCCAAAGGCCATTGGTAGGTGACAGTCAATTGAACTACACAAGTCTAGATACACACAGGAGAAGGGAGAGAGCAAATAGAAGCAGCTTGTGGACACAGCCAGAGCTACCATCAGCTATAGTCATAAGCTGGGTGTAAACCAGTGACACCCACTAGTATCTGCCACCACATGGGCCAGCGAGTCCCCCCAAACACCCATGGTGGCCCCTGAGCCAAGGCAGCGGTTCAGAGGCAGGCAGACCTGTCCCCACCTCCCACTGCAAACCCACTAAAGAGGCACTTCACAACCTTCAGGTTGTGCCAGCATCACGAGGTGACAAGGGCCAGATACCTCTGAAAGGATCTGTCCCTTTTCCAGCCTCCTGCCCGTGCTCCTGGGAGAAACTCAGCAGCTGGAAAGGCCGCTGCAGGGAGGCTGTGCCAGTACTGGCAGCACTTACCTGGGACTGAGAACCCCTACTCGTGCACCGCAGCCATCCCTACAGCTGGATTTGAAGCTGCGAGCAGGAGGCTGCAGAACCTGGAGACATCCCTGTGCCCAGCGGGGGACTGGCCTGTGAAGGGGCTCCATGGAGAGCCTGGAAACAAGGCACCCAGTGCCGCCACCAGCCACAGCATCACCAGGGGATGCTGCTGCTCTCCAGGCTTGACATTTCCCCAGGACTTGGAGTAACAGCCACCCTTCCCTCTCTCTCGGCTAAATCCAGTGCACAGGGGCATTCAGCTGCTCAACAGGCCCCAGGCAACCTGGCATGTCAGAGTCAGGAGGCTTCCCCCGCCAGGCAGCGCCCTTTGAACCTCTGGGGACTGTTCACCCGCCGGCAGGCCTGCTCTGCAAATATTTATTGAGGTGGGTGTGTGCAAGCACCCTCCCTCCTGCACCCCTTCAAGGCACACAGGTAACCAGACCCACAGTGGTCCAAGCCCAGCTGCTGCTCTCAGTGCTGCCAGCACACATAGGAGGCTCTGTTAAACAACGCTAATAAACGCTTTATTTACCAAAACCACATTAAAATACTCTTAAGACTGTCCCATCTTGCCAAGTCCCTTCAGTAGCAGCTGACAGCTTGAGGATCCTGGAGGAGGCTTGCAGAGCTCACGCAGCAGCACCAGCTTCATGGCCAGCAGGACCTCCTGGTACCTGAGGTGGCTTCTTCTGCCACAGAGGGACAGCCGGGCCGCCTCCAGCGCCACGTCCCCGAGCAGCTGGGGTCTGCCCAGCCAGGCAAGGGCAGCAGCTGCCAGGCAGGAGGCTCTGGTGGACCACGTCTGCAGGAAGGGCAACCATCAGAGAATCAGCTCAGCCGTCTGTGAGGTGGCACAGCTCAAGGAGCTGCCTACAGGCACAGGTCAGGCAGAGCTGCCCTAGCCCCATCCACTACACCTTCAAATTAAATTAAAAACTTCCAGATTTGGCTAACACAGGAGCATTCAGATGGATGACCAAGCTGAGCTTAGAAAGCAGATGGTTACACCCAAGCCCAGTCAGGACATACCCGCTTCAGGAGCTTGTGGATGTAGATGGAATAAGCCACCTTCTTCTTCTGCCTGCGGGGATGGAGGCAGAGGAGGCTCTGCCAGGCACACCTGCCTGCTGCCTTCTTCCTTGGGAGAGCAGGGAGGCCAGGCTCCATCGCTGCTACCCACACACAGCACTGGTCCAACGCACCCCTGCTAAGGGAGAGCAGAGCAGGAGCCCCAGCAGCAGGACACTGCTTTCACACCAGGCACCTCCAGCTCACTTAGGACTTCCCAAGGTAGTTGCAGGCATTTAATTAACATCATGCAACTTAGGCACTCACATTAACAAAAGAAATACATCGTGTTACATAAAACAAGATTAAAAACCACCCCCCTATAGAGCTAAATATATCAGAAAAGCAAAGCACAAATAAGATATTTTAAAGGTTATGGTTTTTTTCTCCCCCCCCCCAACTCACCTCCAAGAGCTACCACTGCCACCTCCTCCAGAAGCAAGTAAGGAGCCAGGAACTGCTGCCTATAACCAGGGGGGTTCATTGCTTTCAGCTGGGGGCTGCAGGGACAAGGGTGGGGATAAGGATGGCCTTGGTGGTGCTGCCTTGCACCCACACCCAAACCAGCAATTCTTACCCAAAATGCTCCTTCAGGTGTGGCTGTGCCTGCTCCCAGGTTCCCCTTGCCCTTGTTGCCTTAATTAGTATCATTAATGTAATTAGTCTGAGGCAGCCCCTTCTGCTGTGCTACAGGTCTTTGGGGCACCCAGGTGTTCCTGTGGGATTTTTTGAGTGGTTTTATTCTGTATTTATTTGGAGGGTTTCTGGGGGTAGGATGTTGTCCTGATTGGGGCTGGGTGTCCCTTGGTTTGCAGGATCTGGCCCTGCCCACTGGGATCCTGGGGTGGAAGTTCCCTGGGTGCAGGATCTGGCCCTACCCAGTGGCACCCTGTGGTGGTGGGGTGTCTCTGGGTGCAGGACCATGTTTTGCAGTGCAAGGTGTTGGGGTGGAGCCAATGGGTGCAGGATGGGGCCCCATCCTGAGCAGGATGAGTATGGGGTTCCCTGGGGTGCAGCATCCCACCCTGCTGGGTGTTTGTGTGGGGGTGCTGGAGTGCAGCATCTGGCCCTGCAGGATTCAGGGTGGGGTTGGGTGTCCTGTGCAGCCCTGCAGGATGCTGTGAAGAGGTGTGGGGGTCCCTTGGGTGCAGGGTCTGGCCCTGCTGCACCCTGGAGTGGGTTTGTGGGTGGGGAAAGTGCCCCCCTTGACACAGGACCCAGCCCTGCCCCATGGGGGATCCTGCAGGATGTGACCCCAAAGCACCCTGTTCAGGGGTGGGGGGGGGGCTCATCTGGGTGCAGGATACAACCCTTCAGCACACAGGGCTGGGGACAGCAGGGCTGAAGGACCTTCCCCTGAGCACAGATGCGGGGATGTGTGGATACATGGATGCCGTGCATGTATCCTGACCCGAGGCCTGAGGGTCCCCTTTGTGTCTCCCCACAGGTGATGTTGCCCCACATGACGTAGGACCCAAGTGGCTTGGGCCAGGGACAAGCAAACTGACAGACCTACAGCACAACCTGGAACGCAGTGTGTCACTATGTCCATCTGCTCGTACACATGTGCACCCGTGAGCCCATGTGCTCGTGTGTCTGAGTCTGTATGTCTGTCCATCTGTCCATGCATCTGTGTGTCTGTGCATCCTTGCATCTAGATACCCCTTCTCTGCCACTCGAAAAGTAAATCTTCCTATTCCCAAATGAGTGCCCCCTCAGTCAGTTTGCAGGTGACACCCAGTTGGGTGGGAGTGTTGATCTGCTCGAGGGCAGGGAGGCTGCAGAGAGACCTGGACAGGCTGGAGCCATGGGCTGAGCCCAGCTGGGGGAGTTTCACTGAGGGCAAATGCCGGGGGCTGCCCTTGGGCCACAACAACCCCCAGCAGTGCTACAGGCTTGGGGAGGGGTGGCTGGAGAGCTGCCAGTCAGAGAGGGAC